TCTGTAGTCATTCTAGAATAGAAAAAAGTGTAATTTATATCTATTTCCTGATTTTTTATGGTGGGTACAAGGTCAGTCAAATCAACCAAACTCATACAGAGATACTATAGTGAAAACAATTACATGAAATGTAAAGTTTATTTCTAAACAAAAATATTTTATAATTATCTAGAGGTTATAAATATTTCACATGTGGAATTTCACAATTTTCTAATCCATAAAAGTATTTTTAAGCTTAAAATCTAAATTACTCAACATGTTGGACAGTCAACATTTGAAAAGAAAAAATGCACAAGCAAATGATTACTTAAAAAATCTAAAAAATTAATTTTAAAAATCTAATATTTTGTGTATGATAGCCTTGTAATATTCATTGATAATCTGCAAAATTTTGTGAAGATACACATACTGTATTAAAAGTTATAGTATGAAAACCATAACAAGGACAAAATGGTAACGATGTCAGTCCCTGGAACCAAGCCTATAGTGAGAGAGTTAACCGAAATTCTGATTAATCTGTTTAATCACTACTCCTATTTAATCAATTATTTTGATTAATTAATTTATACACACCTTTTTTTTTGGCATTTTTTTAAACTAAATCTTCATTTAAATAAACAATTTTAGAGAAAATACACATCAAATTTCATACATTTGTCACCGGTGTCATGTGCGAGTACTACCTTATGACAGAAATGTATCAAATACTTTAATATAGTGCCGAGTCACAGTGCATTTCACACTTTCTCAATTTAACATGTTTCTTACACTAGACTCGGGAATGAACTAATTTCATCACCGACATCTAAATAACTACACTCTAAAACAACACTAGTCTTGATAATTATACATTGATCTATTTTATTATATATAGTAGGACCAAAAAAGCATATATAAATTTGCTACTGTGTTCACATAAAAAATGTAAAATTGGGAGAAACCTCTCGTATCAAGGCTGTTCTAGAGCAAAATGGGATGCACTTTAACCCTGATCAAACAGCTAACATATCAAACTTATTTGGTATGGCTAAGCTATGGCACAAGCATGCAGGTGAAACTACTGTCTGTTGTTTAACTCCAAATGATCCTTCAAAGTGATTACATATGACAATGTGTTAGAATATTGGTCAAAAGACTTTAGTAATATTTGACAAAATATGAAATTAGTCAAATAATGAGTTGGTAACTGAAGACCAGCTTGCCAACCCTAGTAGCAGATGCCTTCTATGTGTCTAACAGACTTTTTTACACTATACTGGATTACAATTATTTAAATATGAATTTATATTATTAATTCATCTTAATTAGTGCAAAAGTGTATCATAATTATCACAATTAAATGAACCTTTAAAAATAACTCACCTAATCTCAATTCTCCAAAATTACCACATCCTATTTTTCTACCAACTTTGAAGTTGGGTCCAACCATCAACACTCCTGAACTTCCAGAACTAGATGGTCTTGGCTGATTATGTGTTCCCCTTGGCACAATACTTGTTTTAGCAATCTGTCTTGTTTCTTGTCGTTTCTGCATAATGTTTCACCTGTTCCTTTCAAGTATTTACATTATACCTGAGATAAAAATAAAAGTTATGCTTTCTATTTTAAATCACACTACAGTATATAAAGCATATAAGCAAAAATATAAAACAGAACATCATTAGCAGATAATCATGTTTAAGAATAATGTCCTTGATATGAATAAATGTTTCAAAATATCAAAGTATGTTCTATTTAATTTGTAAAATATTATTTAGATAAGCATCTTGAAAAATACTTAACATGTACACAGTGTTTTTCAAAGTTTTTTTCTCTCACCAAATTGGTTTGTGAAATAACTACTTTTGTGAAAGATAACACCTATGTGAATATTATCTTATGTTTAAGCTTCACAACATACCTAATTTTGAGGAGTTTGAAAAAAAGAAGATATAACAACCGAGTATGTATGCTTAGAATCAGGACTGGATTTAAAGGAGGGCAATCAGGACATTTGTCCATGATCCTGGGCTGAGGAACCCACAGCCCAGGTTAAAATAAATAACTATATTTTCTAAGTCACTATTTCAGACTCCGAAATCCAACTCAATTGTCCCGTGACTGCACTAACTAACTGCTGGTGTCTCTTACTGGTCATGTGCATGCTGGAAGATGACAAGAGAGAGAAATTAACTGAAAAAAAAAAATCTCAGTAGTGCAGCAAAACAAAAAGAAAAGAAAGCTAGTGAAAGATGCCTACTGGAAAAATTCTGAGACAACCAAATTTTTGGTTTTATATCTCATAAAGATGAAATAATGACAACAAAAATTGAACAACCATTTGGCAAGTTTTTTAAATGCTACTATTCCTTATGGAATAAGAAGTCAGACTCAGTTTACACATTGCACCAATTACCAATCAAGGTAACAACAATCTTCCTTTACTTTTAATTCATAGTAAGGATCTGGCTAAATGGAATGTGGACAAACCACTTTGCATACACAGGATTTAATGAGGCCAAAGTGACTGTCAGAGTAGAAGTAGCATGTATGGAAAAAAAAAATCATGACTATTATCTGCCTAAAATAATATTGAAACAGAAATTATAAAAAGAAAGAAGTTGACAGTAACTAGTTGCTGTACTGTTGTTTTGTTTTATGTGTAAGTTGTTCTTATTGAAGAAAAGTGCACTGTCTGATTATGGGTTTGTTGACTGGAAACTTGCAACAGTTATATTGGCACAACAACAACAATCCTCAGAGTAAAATCAGTCGCTGCTTGTGTTATGTACTAGGAGATATGAAACTGGGCACATCAACACCTCACTAGAAATACAGAAAAAAAAAGGAGTAGGAATACTAGAAAAACATACTAGTTCAAGTTATCCAATCTCTTCATGATTATGGTCTGACATTAGGTGGAGAGGATAAGACACGTGGTTCACCACACAACTGAAACTGCTGAGGAATGTTAGAGATCACTTTCCATTTTGACCACTTCCTGTCTGATCACCTTGCATAATTTAGTGTTAAGGTATCTAGGAATGGATATATACACACACACACATAAAGAAAGCTCTTGACACAACACCAAAAACATGAGATCACCAGAAACCAGACATATTTCAAAACACTCACTAGTCAAATAGAGCAAACGGAAACAATAATTCAAGCAGAGTTGTAGATATAGACTATGGAGAAACTCGACAAAACTAGTACCAAGCATAAAACACTGAACTGTGGTTGATCATTGAACTGTTTGAATCTCTGAAAACATTTCTCGATGAGATTCATGATCATTTTCATATGACCACCCAGTACTGTGCAGGATCATGACTGCCAGAGTTGCAATGAAGTTTTACTACAGGGCAGGCTGATTTTGTGTCCAAACTCTCCTAAATATTCTGGATACTCTTTTCATCAGTGTCCCTACACTGATCAAAACTTGTGTTTTTGTGTATAACTTGTTTGATTTCCTTACTGGCTTTCAGAAAAATGAAATCAAGAACAAAGTTCTAATTCTCTTGCAAACCTATCCTACAGACCTGAACAAACATTTCCCATCAAAAATTCTCCAGGTTACTAAATTTGTTCTTACCAAGGATAACAGAACATCTGACTACTTTCAACTCATCCAATTTTCACATTTCCAAAAGTCTGCAATTGCCCTTATACTTAATGTGCACCAGAACTGTCTAATTAGCCTTGCTATAATCTCCACAGAATGTGACATACTGAAAAAACTGGATTTTACAGCCACTATAAGATTTTACACAGATGAAATTAAGAAGATCAAGATAAATGTATGGGAGTTTAAAGATAGGCTTGATAAATATTTAAATTATAAGGGCTGTCTTTGAATGTTTTATTTTTAATTTAGTTTAGTATAGTAGATGGGATGGCCTAAATGAACCATCGGGTCCCTTGTTGTCTTTAAATTACTTGTGTGTGTGTGTGTGTGTGTATAGAAGTGATTAAGAAAATTAAAATAGCATGATGTTAATTTTGAGAATGATTGTGGTATTAAACACTTTAACATTTCTAGCATTGTTTTTAAACATTCTTTTCATATTAATCCAGATAATAAAATCCATTTAAGTCACTAGCTGACATCATGTTACAGCAAAATACTTTTATAAATAATTGTTTCATGAATGTATTATACCTTGGTTATTCACATTAAAACAATGGAGTGGTTATTTGAATTAGGCATCAGTAATTTTTTTGTTCAGCTTTTTGTTTTACATTATTATAACAGTAAATATGTCTGTATGCATTGGCTTTGTAGTTTTTGCCATTTAACAAACTAAATGGGGGGGGGGGGTCTGTTCTGATTCCTTGTCCTTTGGCCCATTATAACTAAACCTGGACTTGCTTATATATATATACATGCAATCAATATACATATGTATTAATAGAAAAGCACAGTTATTACTTTGTGACTATAATATTTCATTATTATTATGTTTTAATAAATTATTTGTGTATTTATTTTTTATCCTGATTTTCTTAGTGTCTACAGTTATACAGTCATATGGAATGGCTGTTTTAGATTGGACCAAAAAAAACTGCAGGATATATCATAAATATTAGAATCAAACTGTATTCACAGGATCTTTCAGACTAAAATGAAGCCACATTACTAAAACAATTACATATATTCATTTAATTTACTAATCAGTTAAAAACTTTTTCTGTGTAGAAACCAGTTCTGAACATAATACAATCAGAGTAAAATGTTGAAATTTGAAAGACTAAAATATTCAACACATTACTCAAATACACTTCTTTGAGTTAACCAACAGTGTTCAAGGAAGAAGAGGAACTTGTTTATACATGTCCACACACACACACACACACTTTTCCCTCAGCAACAGTTTATAAATCCTAAAATTACAGAATTAATTTGAATACATGGCATTCTGCACAAAATTCTTGTATTTGAAATGAAAAATTTTCTAGAAATATGCTTACAAGTTCAAAAATTTCAAATTAAGCATTGCCTTTAAAAATTTAGAAACAAAGAAGTTATTTAAACAAACTTGAATCAACAGTCTATAATGTACATGTGTGTGTGTGTATATAAAGTTCTGAGTAAAAGGCCACTAAACTCTACCAAGTCTCTAGGAAGAGAAGAAAAACTTTAAAGACATACGCTTTCTGAGAATGCAAAGCCATACTTGGAATGTAAGAGTAATTAGGCATTAAACAGAACAGTTACTGGTTTTTTAAAGTCTAGACATACATCTCAAAAGACAAACTTTTGAACCAAAGTTAAAGTTGACATTGTAATATTTTAATCTAAATTAATAATAAATTTAACCTTATTGTTAAACCAAAGTGTGTTCTAAATCAACCTAATAAAGTGTCCTACCACTTTGTTTTAGAGCCTTTCAAAGCTTAAAAAATAGCAGTATAATAAGATTTGGCATAGATTTTACCAGTTTATAGGTGCATAATATTGAAGATAATTTTGTTAGTACCTATATTCAACTTGTAGTTATATGCTACATTACTTTTAATTTATTCCAAATCTGTAAGTATATGAATATCAAATTCACCATACACACACGTGCACTGGATGATAATATAAATGATGCATAGCAGAAAGAGTGACATTTAAATATGTCTTTTCATCCCACTTATTATTAGTCTGGAACACCATCAAAGATTCCTGTCTTAAATAAACATGCCTGCCATATATTTCTGTTTCCTGTGTAGTTTTTCACAAGTAAAATTAATTAATTCTGTTGCCATTTATGCATTATGTACACACTTGTCCAATAATTATCTATTTAGTTGGATGGGAGGTTGACAATTTCAGCAATATTTATAAAATTGCAATATCAAAAATTTTGGGGTTTTTTGTGATTTCTTTCAAATTTAAAATTACTTTCATATTTCTAACATCATGAAAGAGGCATTTCTAGATTTGATGAAAACATTCTTTGAAAGTTTTGAAGACCCACTGATAAACCTGGACATTAAACAAATGGTCTGTCCAATCTCTGTTATATCTTCTTTTTTATCTCATTTTTTGTTTTATTTTAACTTTTTTCCATAATTCTTTATTCTGCACCACAGTAAAAGACCAATGTATATGCATATAAAATATTCATTAAGGTACCATAAACTTTTGCTTATAAATGCATATCTCATGCGACAAGAAGTTATTACTCTAAAATATGTAACATTCCCAAACATACTATTTTTCATCATATGAAAGTAAATGTGCAGTACAAATTTAATGGTTAAGAATCAATCACAAATCGTCAGTGATCCTATATTCTGATGTTTATGTTTCAATACGTCAATTAATACTAGTATTAGTAGTATTCAACAGACTTAACAAGATGAACTCAATGTACATATAATTCTTAAAAGCCAAATAAACCCCCTTCCTTTTAGAAATAATTTGAATTAATGTCAAATCCTATAATAATAATCACTCATAAAGCCAGGTATACATGCATACTAATGTGACAAAGAATATGAGAAATTTTTCACTCCCAAGCACCTGAGCTTCTCTGTAACTAGTAGTAGTAGTAAAATCGCATTAATTAAATAAAAGGTTACATGAAACTGCAAAGAGTCTCTCAAGACATTTCCAATAATGCCCCAAACAAATAATATTTTCCTCAGTCATGTGCCTACCTTTTAATTCAGTCTCACTTTTCATACCTAATACACCATGCATTTATAATTTTTACCTTTGGTCAGAAGCCTCACTGTAAATTTAAGGCTTGAGTTAAGGTGTAACTTAATAAAGATTTACTGTGATTTCAAATAAAGCTCTGCTTTTATCATTTATCAGGATCACAATAAAGCCATGATCAGATTTTTAAAGTTAGGAAATTAAATCAATGCTTGTTGTTACTTGCTAGAACTTAGTAGAACTAGAAGTTGAAATAAACTTATGCTATATTCTGTGTAGTATTCATTAGCTTAAAGTTAAACAAGTTAAACTTAGAATTAAATCCAGATATAAGTTTGCAACTTTTGTAATTCGAACTCTCGCTTTAAATATTACTCCTAGTCTTACTCGAGTCCGAATATATTACGTTGGCTTTTATTTATCATGTTTTAAAAAAAGACAGACACTTTACAAAATTTACACTAGTAGTACTATTAGTATTACTACTAATAGTATTACAATTTACACTCCAGACACAGTCCTGGTAGTAGTACTACTACTTGTAGGCCTTAATTTATGAGTAATATTAAGTAATTACTAACGTTAAACATTGAACATATTATTTTTATGAAATACGACACATAATTTTTTTAATCTATTAAGAACAATGTCATAAACAGATTTTATGTTAAGTCATTGATTTATACAGAATTACCTTAAAATAACAATAACGAAATACGAACCAATTTCGAGACTTTCGTCCTCACTCACACAGAGTCCAGTGAAAAACTCTCCAACGTATGAGTGCTTCAAATTATTAATTTGTTATTCTCGAACTAAAACTATTTTGTTAGAGTTAGGAGAATGAATATTGGGTACATTTTTATCACGATGTTACTAGTTTGTAACAGATGAAGTTCTTCAACATTATTATTACTCTGAAACATGTAACATTCCCAAACATATTATTTATTATGATATGAAAGTAAATGTAAAGTACAGCTTTGGTGATTAAGAATAAATTACAAATCTTCAGCGGGCTTAGGTTTGATGTTTTTGTCTCACTAGGTCAATTAGCATCGATATTAATAGTATTCAATAAACCTTAACAAGATCAACTCATTGTACAGATAATTCGTGAATATCAAGGATTGAATGTCCATATGTTAAAAATATATAGTAAAAACTGTTGCTGGTTGTTTCATCACGCATTTTTTCAATAAAATTAAACCAAATGAAGTAGATGTACAATTTGACTAATGTTTTGAGAGGCAAATTACATACCCAGCTCTGCTCGACAGATCCAGTGAAAGTATACACAGCGTGGTCACAAGTAAATAGACACCACCTTTTCAGAAAAAAATGAAAATTTTCAGTCATATTCACATGAACTGATATATTTATAATTTAATTAATATCTAGTAGATCTTCCTTTCGCTTCGTGGAGTTCGTTGATCCTTTGGGGCATCGTGAGAATCATCTCGTCAATTTTAGATTGCGGTATTTTCGCACACTCTTGCTTCAAAATTTGGAGTAGATCGCTCTTCGAAGTTGATTTTTTTGGTTGTTTCTTGACTTGCCGGTCGAGTATGGCCCACAGGTTTTCAATGGGGTTCATGTCAAGAGATTGGCTCGGCCAGGGCAACTTCTGGATACCACTTTCTTCCTGCCACTTTTGGGTGTTTCTGGCAGTGTGACACGGTGCTCCATCTTCCTGGAACAACGTTGTGTTCTTGTCCACAAAACCCGAGGAATAAAGTGGCAAGAGTCCTTCCTCCACTAT